GAGACCTACTGATTTATAAACAAAATTTATTTTAATAGCTGTTTTAGTCCTGGGAGACACTGAAGGTATGTGGGAGCTGGACAGGAAGTGGAATCAGGCCAAGCTTGGTTAGAATGACAGATTGAGCATGATCTTGTTCCGCTCTGGGTAAATTACATAATTTTTGTTAAAGGTTAAAGTCTCCTTTCCTTTAAATTATGGCTATTCACTCTTTAGCACATTTTTGTGACAGTTGATTGTGAACATAATTTTGTAAGTAGAGCACCTGCTATATGCCCAGCATAGACACTCAATAATAACTGGTGGTTACCAACATTTGTTTTTACTAAAATGCTTTATTAGAAACTTCAAAGCCTGTTTCTCAGGTATGCTTATTGATATAAATGAGAAGATTCTGAGCAGAGGCACAAAGATGAGCACACATCAACCTAAGGCAATCAGCACAATAGACCATCTTGTTATGTTGCAAGTATGTAAATAAATCACAGTCAGATTCGGTCTAAGTGTACCTCTCCTGGAAGTCATAGAATTTATGAATTTCCTTTTTAGCAAAAAATGCTCTTGGAGATGTTAATACTTCCTAGAATAAACGCAAATAAAAGTTCCCAGTTAGTATTTTGCACTTAAGTTATCAGTTCTATTTCTTTACAATGACCTAGAAACTAAGCATTTGGCTGTGTCTCTACTTGGGTACCAAGAAGCTCAGTCAAAACTACAAGGTCTGTCCAGAAGGTATCCAGCCATGTAATATGAAAAAATGGAGAAGATACGAGAGAAAAGAAACATTGTACAGAGGATGGTGACACCTCAGTCCCCTTCAATGTAGGCACCTTGGGACCTCACACAGTTCTCCCAACTGCCGTCAGCTACTGTGATGTGTTTTTTTTTCCTGAATCTCATTGACCACCTGAAGTCTCTTCCCTTTCAAAGGTGATTTTAGTTTTGGGAAGAACAGAAGTCACAGGGTGCCAAATCTGGGCTGTAGCAGGGCTGAGTCACCTGGGTGATTGGATGTTTTGTCAAAAATCTCTGCATGAGGCATGATGCATGGGCAGCTGCATTGCCATGAAGAAGCTGCCTATCACCAGTTGCCCATAGCTGAGGCCTTCTGAATCATCTGAATAGTTTCTGAAGAGGAATATTTAAGCTTAACACAAAATTTGATGCAGATCCATTGCTCTTCTTGCTCAGTCATTTTAAATGTGATGATCACACAGTACACGTGCTCAGTCATTTTGACTGTGTTGATCGCACAATACATGTGCTCACTTAATGACGTCTACCATCCCCCCTGATTAGTACAATGAAGTTGTCTATTCACACATGTGATTTCCAGTCCACTCTCCTTGGCTGCCAGGTTACATCGGTGTTGCACAAATCATTCTTGTTATATTAACACTGGCTGGACTATTTTCTAGAGGGACCTCATCAGCATAATTGCCCAAGAGGTCTGAACCTGTGGTTCTATCAGGCAGGGTTTGGTGAACCATGCTGGCCTTGGACAGAAGGGGAGTGGGAAGATTGCTTTGTATTGCTCTTCCCTCTTCTAGTCTAGGCCTTGGCTGTGACTTCAGTGGTGTGTAGAAGGACCAGCAATAGAAACCAGCCTTGCCTGAGGCTCTGACTGCACACTCCTGCTTATTTATGCTGGAAACATGTGCCTTGCCCATGCTGTTCCTTTACTTATTTGGGGAAATATTTTCTTGAAGGAGCTGAGACAGGGTCTGGCTTAAAGCTTGTGCTCTAAATACTGCACACCTTGCTTTCTGTAGTAAGCATACAGTAAATATTGGTGTCTACTCTTCTCACTGGGCTCACACCTGGTCCTACCACTTCCTATTGTGTGTCTTGGGTCCAGGCACTTACCTCTTCAAAAATCTAAGTGTCCTCAGCTGCAAAATGAAGGAACAGAATACACACATCATGTTCTCCTGATGATTAAAAGAGAAACATATATAGATAACATTTATTGAATGTGTACTCTATGCCCTTATCTAAATATTTGTCTAAGCATTTCACATATGCTAAGTGTTAACCTTAACTTACAGTCACCTATAAAGTAAATATTTTAATTCCCTTTTCACATGTGAGGAAACTGAGGCAGGAATGGTAAAGGAATTTTTCCAAGGTCATACACCCAGAAAGTAGGGGCAGTAAGGTAAGAGTTTGGCTTCAGGCCTGTGCTCTAAACACTATATACCATACTTTTTTGTGGATTATATGTGTTAAATATAATGGAATATAATGGGTTTGTTTTTCTTTCTGGCTTCTCTTGAAATCTCTAATCTGAAAAAGTTTTGCCACAGCAATTGGCACCATAGTACACATCATAGGTGTTTACTAAATACGTACTGATTAAGTGATAAGACAGAGGGCTAAGCATCTGTATAGTTTTGTCTAGTAATGGATTTGTATTGTATTGTGTTTATTGATACTTCACCTGCAAAACAACCTCAATGACTCTACCTGGCTAACTTAGCATTCAAGCTTCTATAGTGATCTGGCTTAGGATGCCATCTCCAACTTTATTATGCCCTTGCTGTTTATATAAACCTTGCTGGTGTATAAGCTCAGTTAAGGACAGGACTTATTTTATGTGTTTATCTGTGTATGTCAAGTACTCAGTGGGAATCTAAATAATATTAATTGAATGAATGAATGTGGCTCAGTCACCATGAACTGTCACTTTGTTCCTCTCTGCAACCTAAAAGCAGGCACTGCCACTGCTTGGCTGTGATGGGACTAGACATGGTCCCATGTCCTACTCCTGTTACCAACTAACCTTTACTCAGTGTGTTAACTTCACAAAGTTCACAAACAATGTCATCAGTTTCATCTCACCTTTTACTAAAATGATCTGGCGAGGCTGCCACTAATTGGACTCAGGTTTTAGTTGGTTTTCTCATAATGATGATGGATTTTCATTGATTTGTCCACACCAGTATTTCACTATCCTCATTATTAGATTTTGCCACTTTGCATATTAATGAAAGAAAACCCCATTTGACTGGCATATTAATATATGAGTGGGGGTTTAAAAATATGACTGCCTAATCTAACTTACATTGAAGGAGGGCCCTTTTTAATGCTTGAAACTAGATTTCCCTCTCATAGAAGCATGTTTTTCTTCTAATATGTGGAGGAGAAAAGAACTAAGATTTATTAAGCATCTATTAGGCCTAATGTTGTGGTAAAAACTTTTATTTGTTCTTGTACTTGATCTTCAAAACAATCCTGAAAAGGAGTATAGCTTAAGAGCCAGGCTCTGATGTCTAAAAGACTGGGTCCAAGTTCTTGCCCTCCAGCCCCGCCACTGAGTAATCTTGGGGGAAGTCTCGTAATCTCTCTAAACTTCAGTTTTATTCTCTGCAAACAGATGTGATGATATCCCATGTCTGGCATTTGGGAAGGGATTTTATTGCCTCCTTCCCCAACACACAAACAATATTGAAATGGGAACCAAAATATTGTTTTAGTAATGGCTTGATAAGCACCCCATCACCACCCAGATGTGGGACTTATTTAGGGAGATCTGCTGGCCCAGAAAGCCAAGGTCTGGAAGGCTGAGTAAGGCTACATATACACCCATACTTTCCTTGAATCTGAGACATTAGAGGACCTGCATCTGTCTTCCGATTGGTCACGTGAACAAGTGGCTGGATTCAAGAGCAAAGCATTGAGCTGGGTGTGTCCCTATCTTGGTCAGATTACTGCCCCAAGCATGTAGTTCAAGTGTGACCCTGGGAACAACACCAGGATGAGGAGGGGTGGTAGAAGGCATGCCAAGCATGGGCAGCGACTTGAAGGCATAGCAACCTGCACTGCAGAGAAGAGGGCAGGATAAGCTGGCCTTTACGGACTGACTTCCGCAGCGTGAGGCACATACTTGAGCTGAAGGTAGACAGGCCCCTTCCCACCGCTCCCCAACAACAGCAACAAAATCAGTAAGAAGAGAAAACAAATCTTGGGATTAAAAAAGATTATGTATATAAAGTGCTTAGAACTTTCACACTGTGGAAGCTATGATCACTACACTGGTAAAGAGATGCAATTTTTTATAACTATTATCATCAAGATGATTGTATAGATGAAGAAAGGGGAGGCTCAGAGACATGAATTCTGGTTTCATATGCAAACCAATAAGAACAGCACAAACAAGCACAAAAGCAACCCGAACTTTACCTTGTTTTAGACTTAGTAACTGCCAGGAACATTTTTATTATGACCCTATAAATGGAGGAAAATAACCAGGTTGTTGTCTGAAACTTGAAGTTACCATAAGCTTTCATGGCAGGTGAACTCAGGGTTGAGCTTGAAGAGTAGGGAACAGGGCAATGAATATTTTCATCTAATGCGATTAGGCATTAACCATAAATACCATTGGAAACCATCACTATCTCTTACATTTTCCATGTGCTATGATTTCATGCAGTGATCTCGAAATAGATCAACAATTATGACAATACATATAAAAATTAGGAATAAGTAGTTACACTTCAAATTGAACAGCAAGGTTTTATAGCAAAGCAATTTGACAAGGAAGCCCTTACCTCTTTACATTGAATATGAGGAAATGCATCAGAGAAGTTCTAAAAATTGTTATAAAAACAGTCAAATTTGATGTTACAGAAGATCAAAATTTTGTGTTTAGTTCCCTGGAAGTATTTTACAATATTATGCTATAGTGTAAGAGTATGTGAAAAATAAGAAAATTGCCCTCTAATTTAAATTCAGCCTACTAAGTGAGCCTACAAAACACTATTCATACTATGTGACAAAACAAAATAAATACTTTTACTTCTGTGAAGGACTAAAATAGTGAAGTTCTTTGAAAGAAAAATTAAAGTAAAGGGACTATAAAGGGGATTCATGGGCAGGATGTAGGAAGGGATATTTAAATGAATTGCCGAAAATGTTTCCCTTCTGTCTGCTAAAGGTTTCTGCTCCTCCATTATTTAGAACATTGAATAAGCAAAGCTCTTTTGTCCCCCAACCTTTAGGAAAACATCAATATCGATGAAGCCTCCAGGTGCCTGGTGAAGCACATCCTGGCCAATGAGTGTGACCTGATGGAGTCCATCGAGCCGGACACCGTGAAGCCACATCTCACACCACCCAGGGCCATCAGCTGCTCCGGCTGTGCCAAATCTTACTAGGCCTCTTGGCTGGCCTAGGGGGGAAGTAATCCCGTCATCTCATAAATCGTGCCACGGTTGTTACCATGTTGGGTAAATGTCATGATAGGAACACACATGTGTAAGCCAAAGACTTGTGCCTATGTCTTTCCTATAAGAGAGAAATAGCGAATGCTCTTTTTATGTGTTATTTTGCCCGCATCAGCTCCGTGTTTACAACCTTTTAAAATATTTAGTCTGTTAAAGAAAATTCTGTTTTGTAGCTGACCACAGATCTGCAGGGCCAGAGTGATCCTGTGATTTGCCTCTTTGAATCAGCCAAGCTCTCAGGTTTTAAAAGAGAAAGGGGAGAAGACAGATTTGCTGGCAAGCACTGGCTTTTGCTTTGACTCTGGTGTCTCTCCAAATTTTAACGCATTCTCTGCTTCTCTGACAGACCTTCTAAATAGAAATGGTATTTTCTCCAGAGATGACCTCCATTCTCAACAGACCTGAGAGTTACCTCTGAGTTAGCTCTTCAGAGTCTATACAGGCTTCCTGTGCTTTTGTTGCTTCTCTTGTCACTTGCCACATGCGCTGAATGTTGGTTTAACTGAAAAATGTTTAAAAGAAGATCTGCCTGCTCTCCATGCCTTTTTGTCAGCCTTCTCTGACTCATGCTGTGGGACTCTGTAATATACATTGTATATATTTTCACAAGTGAAAAATAAAACATTAACAGATGCTGTTTCCGTATTTCTGAAAGTGTTTCCAGTTTCTTAGTATTGTGAAATTTTTTTTTCACTGGGTAGCCATGGTTCTCAAGACTCATTTCTAAAATTCTCGTTCAAAAAAGGAGATGGGAAATTGCGCATTTAAGGGAACTGCTGGGCACTATTAAAACTGAGACGAGTCTATTCCATCTGCATCTACTGTTGACATTGACATTTAGGCCAAGAAAGTAGGTAGTGTATACAAATCTCTTCAGTTAAGCGGAGAAATATATCCTTATATATTCTGATCAGGAAAGGTGCCAGACCAATCAACACACACAAAAAAACAACTAAAATATGCATGGTGACATCTTGCTTTATACAATGGCTGTGGAGCTGATAAACTGCAGATAGCTACTCCTTTTTAAGGGCATTATTTTTCATTGATGTTCATAGTATACTCTTAGGAGCTTTATCTTTTGTAACAGATGTTTTGGCATGTCCTACCCAAGTTATTTTGGCATTCACTTTCCATAAGCACCAACCACATAGCTTCCTATTACAAGCCGTTTTGACCCTTTCCCTTAGGGCATTCTCTGATCTCTGGGGCACTTGGCCCCCGAGGCAGGCAAACCAGAAGTGCCAGGGGTTTCCTGTGCCCAGGAGCAGCCCTTAGCTGATGATAGCAGTAATTGGGGGCTAAATACCCTAGGTTCTTTGTCCCTCAGGAAACACAATTGCACAGCAGGTGCTATGCAATGTCTCAGAACTTCCTAGTGGTATTAAGTCCCTGGTTCTCACAGGGGAAAACTTTCATCCAACTCATCCTTTAATAGCTTCCCCACTCCTCTCTGGTGCTTCCTGAGTTCACTTCCAAAATAAACTACTTTCTCTCAAATCCTTATTTCAGGGCCTTATGGAGGAACATAAGCCCAGCCTAAGTTACTGGGACAGAGGTGGCCTAGGAAGCAGTTCCTCAAACCAGCTTCTTGAAATGAATCATTCACCACCTGGGTGGTAGCCCAAACCCCTTTCCTGGTGCATAATGTGGTGGGGCTAATCCCTGGCAAGATGGAGCACCATAATTACTAAGACTCCTATCAGAGATAGAACATAGGTGGAGGGAAATTCTATTGCTCTTGTGTTTGAAATATACAGGATTATAGAGTTAGTTAACCTCTATAAAAATTCTGTAGGAAAACAAAAATTATAGACCTTGTCAGCCAATATTCAATTCAGGATTTAATGTGAACACTTGAAGACCTCCAACCAGCAATGAAAATAATCCTCCTTTCCTTTAGCTACAGGATAGACCATGCTGAAAATCCAGCCTAAGGTATGACTTTAGGAGAAGCAGAGTTATAAGGAGGCTGAATTCATAAAGATAGCAAGTCTCCTCCACTAAAATCAGGATCCCTATCAGGAAGGATTCAGACACTAAAATGTAGGAAAAGGTATTTGGGTAGATCCTTTTGAGAGTCTTGAACTCAGAGATTCTTCTGAAACCCTGGCCCAGAAAAAGAGGCCCTTTTTCCAATGGAAGAACAGCCCATTGACTCTTAAGAGCCCCACCTCAGTAGGATGTGTTATAGGTGGTGCTTTAACTTCGTAAGTTCTGTTCCCATCTCCCCTCACTGCTTCTGGATAAATAATTAGAGTCAATTGTCAGTATGACCTGAGCAGAAAGGTATGATCTATGTTACAGGATGAAATGGATTATTAATCAAATGAACTATAGAACTTGGCTAGTAAGTACTAACAGGACTCTGAGAATATTCTAAGAAATTGGTCTTGAGATGCTGGATCAGGGAGGGCAGAATGTAAGACCAAATAATATTAAGTACACAATCTATGTCTATGAAAGTGCTCTTTCATGAGTTAATTTTAAACATTCTGGCAAGTACACCTGGAACTGATCCCAATGTGCTACTGGAATAGCTATTTAAATCTTGGAAACAATGTTGGCTTAAAATAAATGATGTTGAGATGCCAGAACTACTACAAAGTATTAGAGAAGAGCTCCAAGGTCTTGGAGAGGTGGGCATGTTATAATGTATTTATTTTGTGATGCCAGAGAAACTACCAGCTAATTATGTTCCCCAGGAGAGCCCAAAAGACACTCCCTTTACTGAAGCAATAAGAAATGTCCCAAAAAGAAGGACACAGCATCCATGAGAAGCTCAGTGCTGGCTGGTCTCTGTAGACCAGGTTTGAGATAGTAACTATGTTGCTGTTTTTCACTTGGAATGACACTGTACATCAGGCATCTCTGCCCCACACTGGAAGAAGAAGAGTTGTCTTGTGTCACACATTAAATATATTGCAACACGTAATCACAAAAAATCTCATTACATTTTAAGTAAGTTGACGATTTTGTGTTGGGCCACATTCACAGCCATCCTGGGCTGTATGTGGCCTGTGGGACACAGGTTGGACACCCCTGCCAGGTTAAGGCTTATGATGAGGCACTGCTATTAAGTGCTCTTAGGATATTTAGTTCTGTGTCCTGGATAGCTAGCTCCGAAAGTGGAAGTAGGAGTGAAGCCTTCCCACTATCACTTTTAATAATCCACTTAAAAAGTGAGCTTCCTCTTTTTACAACTTCAGGATGTACAGAGTTAGAAGTTTTGAAGCTTCTACCAGGGGACACAGTAAGGGTTCCATTAAAACTACAGCTTCAGATGCTCCTGATTATTTTTGGCTCCACCTGCGCACAGGCCAGGACTCAGAGAAGGCAGTTACTCTGCAGGCAAGGGTAGTTCATCCTGGTTACCAAGAGGACATAGGGTGGCTACGCAGTAGTGGAGCTGGGAGGAGTCTGTCTGAAAACCGTGGGACTCGGTGGGATGCTCTTGATGCTTCCATGGAGCGATAGCTAAACTAAACTAGGCGATAACTGAAAGGGCAATTGCAGCGACAACATCTAGGAGGATATGTAATTGGGTTAGGAGGACAGGTAACCTGAGGCTACGAGTCTCAGGTTAGAAGACTATCCCTGAGACTAGAAGCAGGTTATTCAAGAGACTGGAAGTGGGATAGGATGGTAATGATGAATATCAATTATGGTCTCAATATTAAGTACCACAGTGGAGACTAGCTTGTACCACCAAACCCCTGCTTGTAACTTTCTCTCTTTTTCCTCCTTCCCCCCAGTGATTTACTTAAAAATATTAGTAAAAGCACAGAATGAACTAGTCCAAGGTGTGGATTAGACAGTAGCAGAGGAAAGGCCTGTACTCCCTCAGCATAGGGCTAAAAGCTTTATCTGGCTGCATGGAGTGTATTAGTCTTGCATGCTTGGCAGGTCAGAGTGCTATACAGTTAACACCTCCAAGAAATTTCATCTAAAACGGACATAAATTGATAGATAAATAGTCGAGCTTCCTCACCTCTCAGGAGGGATAAATCCATGGCTTGCTCTATACACTCTCTCAGAGGGCCCCAGTGGGACTGAGGCAAATCCGCACACAGTGGCACCTGCTCGTTAGCACAATCTTCTTAGCTCCCTTTCCTTCCCTATCTCCCTTCTCTACTCTACCAGGGCTTCCAAGGGTCACCTCCCAATTAAGATATTTTCATTTCTGAGTGAGATTCAACTGCTAGTAGTACTTAAAGCACCGGGGCATCCAAACAATAACTTTCATTACAATGGGATCTCTAATCTATTTTTTCCCTAAATATCCACTAAAATGTGGTTCTTATATATGTATTATAAGATGAGAACTAAGTGTCTTCTAACCCTCATCCACTCCATAAAATTGTTTATACAGTCTTCAAAATGAATATGCATTGATTCACTGATCATTTTACTGCCTCACCAGATATTTGTTGAACAATTACTATGTTCCCAACACTTGCTAGAAACTGTAGTGGAGATAAAAATAACTAAGTCATGTTCTCAGGTCTTAAGGTATTATGCTCAGAAAGGGTTCAAATATGTAAACAATTCACCAAGTATCAAGAGAGAAGTCAAATGACCAAACCAAGGGATCTCTTCTGAAAACAATTTGCTTCTAAATGCAGAGACTGCAGCTCCAATCTTGTTTGAGGGAAATAGAATATGCTGCTACCATTCTCTTCCTATGATCCTAACACTGACCTAGCCACAGTAGAATGTTTCACTCAGCTGACTCTTCTGGCTGTTTGCAATATTCTTTTTCTTTTTGGTCCTGGAAATTCTATTAATTCTTCAAGGATCAGCACAATGGCACAATCTCGGTAGGTAATTCAAATTGCTTTTTACAGTATTTTATGAAAAATTATAATTTAATTTATTTAATTAAATTTATTCAGGTGACATTGGTTAACAAGATTGTATAGGTTTGAAGTGTACATACATGCTCGGTATATTGCATTTTGTTTCCCCCACCCAAAGTCAAATAATCTACAGTCACCGTATATTTGGCTCCTTTTATCCTTTACTATCCCCTAACCCCTGGCCTCTGGTAACTACCATACTGTTGTCTGTGTCTCTGGTTTTTGTTTGTTTATTCTTCTTGTTTGTTCATTTATTACTTTCAGTTTTATGTCTCACATATGAGTGATCATATGCTTCTTTGTTTTTTATGACTGACATTTTGCTTAGCATGATATCCTCAGGGTCCATCCATATTGTGCAGATGGCAGTATTTCATCTTTTCTATGGCTCAGTAGTAATCCATTGTATATATGTACTGCATCTTCTTTATCCAATCATATATTGAAGGATGCTTTGTTGTTTCCATGTCTTGGCCACCATGAATAATGCTGCAATGAACATAAAAAATTGAAAACATTTATTCTCAAAGATATGTGCACAGCTTTTGATTGAATCCATCATCACACATTCACATTCTGCATTCCAGTGAGATATCAACTGTTATTTATAGAGCACATACTATGTGACAGTCACTGATATCTTTAGCCCTAT